CTATTATTAGGTAAGATTAGTTTCAGGTGTACAGAATAGTGATTAGACAACCATATACTTGGCAAAGTGTTCCACCAGATACTTCTAGTACCCACCTGACACCATACACAGTCATAATTTCAAGGACTAGATTCCCTATGCTGTCATCTACTCTTAATGGAGTTTTGTGCACATCCTTTTGGGTTGTGCTGATAAACAGATTGATAGTCAATTAGTGTTTTCGGGCCAATACATTGGCTACTATACAACTCATTTTGAAATTGTCCATCTGATTAAAAAAATTTCAATTAATTGGATATCCTATGGTTGAGGATATCCTGAATTTATATTTTGAATCAAAACTGTAGCTTTTCCACTAATTGTAGATATTCCTCATCAATTGGTCTTTCAGTTATTGCTTAAGAGTATTGAAAGTGTACAAAACTTTTCAAAACTAAAAAATATTAGGTAATGTTTTTATTCTTTGACAGTACGATATTACAAATTATTCTTCTGTCATTGTTCATCTGAATCATCATACATTCTTATTCTTTAATTATCATTTGTATAATTTCATTTTTTCCAGTTCCTTGATTATTAATGTTTGTTTGTTTTTTTATCCTGGTTGTTCGGCACAGAGTCACCCACATGAAGAATGACCCTGTTTCCTAAGCTGGGGTTTGCTTTCAGCTCACCACTGGAATGCACCAGCCAACAGAGAAGTGGTCAGGTGCAGTGGCGGGTGGCTAATGATTATTAATGTTTTTGTTACTGGTTCCTAGAAGCTCTTTAAGACTAAAGATGTCAACAATTGGTCATGCAGTGCAAATGATATACCATGTTTTTCATTATTTTATGGTAGTATTTCAGTGTTTTTCTTTTTGGTTGTACAAATGTTGTATACGAAAACATAATCATGTTCTGTTTTTAAAAAGAAAGTAATTGGAGTTATAATATCATAAAAAAGAAAGAAATACTTTGAAGTTAAACAAGGAGTTGAAAGAAATGTAGATGGAACACTGAAAAATATTTCTGAAAGCAATTACAGAAAACACAATGAAATGAAAAGTGTCCGTCCGTGGATGGAAAACATAATATTGTTAAGATGTCATTAATAACAAAACTAATCTTAATATTCAATGCAGTCCCCACAACAATCCAAACAGCATTTGCTGGTAGAAGTGAAAGAAAAATAAGCTCAAAATTCATATGGAATCTCAAGGGACAGTGAATGACCATAATAATATTAAAAAAGAAGAACAAAGTAGAACAACCACATTTACAGATTTCAAAGTATCATAGAAAGCACACATAATAAAAACAGTGTGGTAATGACTTAAAGATAAATCTATAAATCACTGAAATAGAATAGAGAGCCTAGAAATTAACCCTCACATATATGTTCAAATTATCTACGAGAAGATTACCAGGACCACAGAATGAGAAAAAGATAATTTGTTCAACAAGAATACTTAGTGGAAAAAAGATAAGTCTCTTCAATAAATGGCAATGGGAAAATAAATATCCATATAGAAAAGAATAAACTTGAACCCTTATATTATACCATATGCAATAGATACCTCTAAATGGATTTAAAATATAAAGGTAAGACCCAAAACTGCAAAACAAATGGAATGAAACATAGAGGAAAATCTTCATGACATTGAGATTGACGCTAATTTCTTGGATATAATGCCAAGAGCACAGGCAACAAGAGCAAAAATAGGCAAATTGTACTACACCCAGCTTGAATGTTCTGTGTTTCCAAGGTCAAAATCAATGCAGTGGAAAAGCAACGTACAGAATGGGAGGAAATATTTGCAAATCATGTATCTTGTAAGGGGTTAACAACCATTACATAAAGAACTTCTGCCATTTAGCAACAAAAAATCAAATAGCTCAATTTAAATATGTACTAAGGATTTGAACAGACATTTCTCCAGAGATGATATACAAAAATCAAAAAGGCATATGAAAAGATGCTCAGCATCACTAATAATCATAGGAATACAAATCAAAATGACAATGAGCTATCACTTCATATCAATTAGGATGACTGCTATTTAAAAATCCAGAAAAATGCCCTGGCTGGGTGGCTCAGTTGATTGGAGCATCAATGCATACACCAAAGGGTTGCAGGTTAGATTCCCAGTCGGGGAACATAGCAAGATTTCAGGTTAGAGGCAGCAAGCAATCAATGTTTTTCTCTGACATCGATTTCTATTTCTCTCTCTCTCTCTCTCCCTCTCTCTCTCTCTCTTCCTTTCTTCCTCTGTAAAATCAATAAACTAAACATGTCATCGGGTCATGTGAGGATAAAAAAACAAACAGAAAATAACGAGTGTTGGTGATGTTTTTATGATGCAATGTAAACTGCTGAGATTATAAACTATTGTAAGCAGTAATTAAATTATTAAAAATAGAATTACCATATGATACCACAAACCCACTTCTGAGTATATATCAAACATATTTGAAGAAGAAGAGATCTCTGCATTGCCCTTTCATTGCAGCATTATTCCGAATAGCCAAGATATGGAAACAGCCTAAGTGTCTATTGCCAGATGAATGGATAAAGAAAATATTACACACACACACAATTACACACACAGACACATATACATAGTTATAGACCCCTATATTATACCAGTAGAGGCCCAGCACACAAAATTCTGCATGGGTAGGGCCTCTAGGTCTGCCTGTGATCAGGGCCAATCTTCCATGGCTGCCTGCACCTGGCCCCACTCCCCACCACCAACGTCAGTCACCCTCTGTGTGGGGGGTGACCGGCAGGGTGATTGGGCCCCGCTCACTTGCACCTGTCTTGGCCTGGCACCGCCCACGTCCACTGCCACCCACCCCTGGTTCCCTGTTTCCCATCAGGCGATCAGAGCCTGCCAGCTGGGATAAGGGGCAAAGAGGTTTTCCAGCAGGCCCCTGATAGGGCAATTTGGGCCTGAGGACTGGGGGCAGCTCCTGCATTGAGTGTCCGCCCCCTGGTGGTCAGTGCACATCATAGCGACCGGTCGTTATGCTGTCTGGCCAATTTGCATATTATGCTTTTATATATGGAGACTAGAGGCCTGGTGCATGAAAATTCATACACTCTGGGAGTTGGGGATCCCTCAGCTCAGCCTGCACCTCTAATAGACCAGGAGCCCTCGGGGGATATCTGACTAGCAAGGGGAGCGGGCCTAAGACGCAGTCTGGCCTCCCTCTGTGGGAGGCGACCGGCAGGGGATGGCACCAGCCAGTGAGTGGCCGGCTCCGCCCCCAATTGCCCCTCTACCACCTCCACTGGCACCCACTTTGGTTGGCCTGGCACGGCCTGCTTGTTAGCCCCACCCCCCGCCGACCAATCATTCCATGTTGGGTCGATTTGCATATGAGGCTTTTATTATATAGGATATGAAAAGGTAACTCAAAATAAAATATTATTCAGCCATCCTATCTAATAATAGAGAAACATTTTAATTAACCGTAACTTTGCTACCCTTCCCATTGGCTAATCAGGGTGATATGCAAATTAACTGCCAACCAAGATGGCGGCTGGCAGGCAGGCAGCTGAAGCGAACAGGAGGCTTGCTTTCTCCAGTGATGGAGGAAGCCAAGGTTCCCTGCCTGCCGCTGCCGGGCTCTGAGCTGCAGTCTAAGAAACAATGTTGCAA